CGTGGTTGTAGGTGAAAGAAACTGCGTTGAAAATAAAAGAAGTTATGTACGAAGAGAAGGTAATCAATTATTAATTGTAAAATTGAGATTCATCAAAAATATAGGACTTTGATCACTATAAGAAACATTTCAATACTAAAATATGAATTGACTATTACATAATATATTGTTTATTACTCTCAAAAAGTTTTTAATGTGTTTATATAAGGTAAAAAAAGGTAGCGACATCTGTTAGTGCGTTTATGAATTGTTACTCTTAACTCCGTAGCGTACTGCTCCATCTAGTGACCTTTACGAATATTATATCTTCACCTTTAGAAGCAGAAGTAGATTACTTTCGTTTTAAAAAATATTTTTATTATAAAGATGCACCAACAGATGGCAGTATTTCATTTGTTTATTAATATACTATTTAAACATGTTTTATTAAAAATAATATAATATAACGAATGAGACTTAATGTTATTTAAACATTAGATTATGTTATATATTTTTAAGTGAACCTAATTAAACTGCATACCACATTCATCTGTCCTTGGTGTTTGTATTACAACAAGAAGTTTAGATTTTCATGAATTAAATAAGTTCTAAATACCTATCTAGTCTTATTATTAAATGAGGCAAATTCTATCTAGATATAAAAAAAAATACATGTGAAAACAATAATATAACGCGAACACATATAGTATTATTCAATTAATATAGGTTTATAGTTCATTTAGACAAAATATTATGATTGTAATCACAGACCATATTTTTTCTTTGATGGATGAAAATGGTATGGTGACCCCGCCTGCGCTAACGGGATACGCTGGCGGAGCACCAGTGAAATGTGATAGATGAGAATGAAAACAGACCAGTTAGCCCATCATGATGAATTCATCAGGAATTAACCATGATAGTTTCCAGGGGGAACCGTGAGGAGGTCGACCTGGTTGGGTATATTGCTAGCAATAGGATTCTCAGTTTCCATTACTAACAATCCCTTTCCCCCCACAGACCATATTATCTTTGTGTTCATTCAAGATGGTGTAGTCACATTTCATATGATAAAAATCTTTATATATTTTTTTTTTACTTATACCTGTACATTAAAAATTTGCTATGATTATGTATCAACTTTGAAAATACGCTAATTTAATATTAGTATTGTCCATTTACTGTCCACTTATTCACATTGGGGGGAAAATGGATTGTTAGCAATGGAGTTCGACATTGCTAGCAATATGCCCTATCAGGTCGACCTCCACGTGGTTCCCCCTGGAAATCATCGTGAACAATTCTTGTTGAATTCGTCACGATGGGCTAACTGACCTGCTTCATCCTCATATATCATTCTTCACTGGTGCCCCGCCGGTGTATACCAATAGCGCGGGTGGGGTTACCATTCCATTATCACCCATTAAAAAAAAACTTACTCATATTATATTTGTATTGTAACATTTTTGTTGTATTTTGTCAAAAGGCTAAAAACTAGCGCTGTGCAGCTGTTCACATTGCGCTGGGACACTCACAGCATCAGCTAAGCCAGTTCCTTTTGCCTAGTATGGGACACTTCTTGTTTTTTTTTTTTTTTACAACACAGGGTGCAAACGAGCATGCGGCTCACCTGATGGTAAGTGACTACCGCCGCCTATAATCATACGCAACACCAACAGCATTGTAGGTGTACTGCCGGCCTTATAAAAAGGAATATGCTCCTTTCTTGAAGGTTAGATCTCATTGGATCTAACAGCCATTGCTTGTTTGGGGTTCGCTAATAATGATTAAAAAACCCTTTCCTCCACATTAACACTTGCTATATATTTATTCTGCCATATGGTCCCAGTATAGAATAGGCCACCCCTTCCGTTTCCGTGGATGTCGTAAGATGCGACTACAGGAGCTTAATGATCAAGAAATGGGCAGTTTAAAACATCACAAAAGTGATCGAGAAATGGACAGCAACGTCCCTCTTAAAGCATCACCAAAATCTAACTGCGGTTGCCAACCCACTTACCAAGCATGGCAACTACTGGCAAAACCCCCCAATGACAAATACCAGAAAGAAATGGACCCTAATCCTTTGGCTTGAGACCATTCCGTATGACAGTCTATAAGGGAGGCCTATGTACAGCGGTGGAAAATTAACAGCTGTTATTATGAAGAATTTACCAGAGGGAGACTTTGTACAAAAGTCGTTTGCTTGGGCACCTCTGTCCTATTCGTGTTTCTACCGTAAAGCAGTTGTGTTTGCATAACTGTGTTTCGGTTTGAAGGGTGGGATTGTGGACAGTAAATTTACAGGGTACAGAGGAATAACACCTGAGTCCTCAGGAATGGCAACGCATGGGGGGTATCACGGGCGAAACAGTATACTCTGTTATGTCCATGACACTGCTCATATCTATAGACGACGGTTACCACTTTCTATCAGGTGGGTCGTCAGCTTGTTCGCCATTCTGAGTTGCATAAAAAAAGACAAAACCGCGTGTTAAGACTTGTAGACATGTTTTTTTTTTATGTATACCAGTTCATTAAACTGTAGATAAAAAGAGATACTTATATCTGAGATATATTAATACTTTTTAATTTCTTTGATTAAGATAAAACTATTTTCCGTCTGTATCTAGATTATAATATTTATTTTATTGATAATAAATTGTTCTTTTTATTAAATCGATTACCTATTATTGGAGGGCAAATTAGGTGCGTACAACCTTAGCTAAGTTTATATATATATATATATATATATATATATATATATATATATATATATATATATATATATATATATATATATATATATATATATATATATATATATTATTTGTATGGTTCCTTACAAACTGTGTGTGTGTGTGTGTGTGTGTGTGTGTGTGTGTGTGTGTGTGTGTGTGTGTGTGTGTGTGTGTGTGTGTGTGTGTGTGTGTGTGTGTGTGTGTGTGTGTGTGTGTGTGTGTGTGTGTGTGTGTTGTGTGTGTGTGTGTGTGTGTGTGTGTGTGTGTGTGTGTGTGTGTGTGTGTGTGTGTGTGTGTGTGTGTGTGTGTGTGTGTGTGTGTGTGTGTGTTGTGTGTGTGTGTGTGTGTGTGTGTGTGTGTGTGTGTGTGTGTGTGTGTGTGTGTGTGTGTGTGTGTGTGTGTGTGTGTGTGTGTGTGTGTGTGTGTGTGTGTGTGTGTGTGTGTGTGTGTGTGTGTGTGTGTGTGTGTGTTTTTTGTTTATCGCAACCTATTGCACACTACACTACAACCTACAGCGGAATATCAGTGTTTTGCTCTTTTAAGAGCAAAGCAGTAAACTGAGTTGTGACCATTTTGTGTTACTATGGCACACGCATGAAGGAAGGGAAAGAAGGGAGATTGTTAGTTTATATATTTTGTTTTTTTGTTTTTGTTTTGTGCTTTTTTATTTTCATTCTTTTATCTCTTTTATTGTGTATTATGTGTATGTTTTTTTTTGTGTAATAATGTGTGGTGTAAGTAATGTAAATAAATTATCTATCTAGCTATTTCTTTTCAAAGAAATTTTTAAGCGGTATCTAATCTCACACTTGCAAGGGCACAAAATACCTGATCATCATATCAGCCTTTGACTGTCTAATGCTGAACATAAGCCACCCCCTTGGGGGGTTTTACCAGTATTTGCTACGCTTGATTTGACTTGACTGCCTCCCCCGTAGACTGCCATAAAGAACGCTCCTAAGTCACCTGCATCCACTGACTCCCTGCAACGCATTTCAGGTTTTTTTTTAATGGGTGATAATGGTATGGTAACCCCGTCTGCGCTATTGGTATACGCTGGCGGGGCACCAGTGAGGGATGACAGATGAAGATGAAAGTAGGTCAGTTAGCCCATCCTGACGAATTAAACTAGAATTAGTCATGATGGTTTCCAGGGGGAACCACGTGGAGGTCGACCTAACAGGGTATATTGCTAGTAATAGGGCTATTTGACCCCATTACTAACAATCCCTCTCCCCCCACGCATTTCAGGTTGTCACTCCATCTAGTGGGGTGTCGTTCTACACTGCGTTTACATGTACGAGGTCGCCACTCAAGAACCTTTCTTCCCCATCGGTTGTCGGTTCTTCGAGCTATGTGACCAGCCTATTGCCAATTCAGCTTGCTTATCCTTCCATTAAATAGTAATTAAACGAAATTATAAAATTAATATATTTGCTAAGAGATATCATAGAATCGGCCCCAATATCATTTCCTCTTTTATTTGGTTCTGTTTTCCCTTTAATTTGTTCTGTTTCCCTGTAGTACGTACTAAATCTATGGTTTTCCCCATCATCAGGGAAGGCAAAAGGACTAATTCTTTACAGTTGTCGTCTTTAGCTAATTTCTGGTATTATTTTTTTTCGCTTTGGTGAAGTTTTTTAAATGTCTTCAACGCGCACGTGACACCTCTAGTGTTGCAGGCATCCCTAGGTTACAGTAACCATTCGCCATCAAACAGGTCGTATGCTTGTATGCCACCGTCGTGATATAAAAAATGTTGTTATTACATATATATATATTCCTTTTAAAAATATGACCTTTGCTTTGGTTTGCCTAAAACCTATGCTCAACTACAATAACTTCACATTGGGGGAAAGGGATTGCTAGCAATATACCCAACCAGGTCGACCTCCTCGCGGTTTCCCCTAGAAACTATCATGGTTAATTCACACCCTTCAAACCGAAACACAGCCATGCAACTGCTTTACGGTTTAAACACGAATGGGACAGAGGTACCCAAGCAATCGTCTTTTGTACAAAGTCTCCCTCTGGTATAATAAAATATATAAATAGGTAAAGAATATATATATATATATATATATATATATATATATATATATATATATATATATATATATACTGCATGTAATAACTGCATATTCAATATGCAGCTCTCCTTGGAAACTATCGTAATTAATTCTTCTTCGTGCCTTACTTACTTACGTGCCTTGGATATCAAAATCATATAATAATATATATAATCTAAATCATTAGGTAAGTATGTTAACTGAACCATGCAGACGGATTCGCGGACGAGCCAGTTGATAATATAAATATTAACATACAATCATACCTACCTTATCTGGTGATTTCGCACGAGTCGAAAATAATCAATTGGCTTCTTTAATTGGTGAAAAATAGACGTGAGTGTTCTAATTTATTCTCTTTTTCATATATTTATTTGTTACATCACTTTCATATGGATTCATACAATATAAACATATAGGTATAGTACCAATACACATATATGGGGGGGAAGGGATTGTTAGTAATGGAGACTGAGAATCCCATTGCTGCCAATATACCCAACCAGGTCGACCTCCTCGCGGTTCCCCCTGGAAACTATCATGGTTAATTCCTGATGAATTCATCATGATGGGCTAACTGGCCTGTTTTCATTCTCATCTATTACTCTTCACTGGTGCTCCGCCAGCGTATCCCGTTAGCGCAGGCGGGGTTACCTTACCATTTTCACCCATAAAAAAAAAAGTACGTATATACCAATGTAAAACATAAACCAGACTTTAAGGTAAGATTTCCAGAAATATAACTGTAAAACCACATCCAATTTGGTCGAGTAGTATTAGTATGTACGAGTATACTATAATAGCCATGCAGACAGACAGATAAACATTCTAAAAACTTATTATTGGTTTCTGTTGCCTCTTAAAAATTTTCATACAAATATCTCATATACACACATTGTATATATATATATATATATATATATATATATATATATATATATATATATATATATATATATATATACACACATACATGTATATATATATACACACACATACATGTACACTAAATATTAATAGTTGTAGCACTTCAGCTGCCCGCTAACAATATGCTTTCTAACTGTAATGGATTGACTGGAAGAGATCTCTGTCAGAGATAAGTCCACTCTTGCTCGCAATATTTATAAATGCATTAACAATATAATTTACAAGTCCAATAAAGAATATATATATACATATTTTGTTTATTTATTTAAATTTTAAACTTTAAAATATCAATTGTTACTAGTACCGAATTCAAGTGTTCTGACACTTCTCTAAGGTTCATCCGTCAGGCATTAAGTCTGCCCTGTACATATACAAGTACTGATAAATAAATAAATAAATTGTTAAATTTTTAATATAGAGAAAATAGTATTCGATAATTATGTTTATTTTATAATAAATACAATTATCATGTAGATAGAAGACAAAACTGTGACAATAATAACAATAGATAAAGTTATATTGTGATATAATATGACCTTTAAATATTATGAAGTCGGTGACCGCGACTGTATCACCGGTTACTTTTTTCAAACCATGTACTTAGCCGGATTTTGATATCAGTTTCACTGTCATTTTGATAATTTATTTATATATTTATTTATACTTTTGCACACATTAGAGTATGTCTACAGGGCGGACTTAATGCCTGATGGCATTCTCTACCAGTCAACCGTTACGATAAACAAAGAGAATAAATGGCGGTGCATAGCTTTAAAAAAATGTACATTTATTAAATTTTTATTGTTTGTATTATTCGTAGATTTGTATATATACTTAGCTTGCAACTTGATATGTGTGGGTTATGGAAATCAGAAAACTAATTAAGTAAGTCATTTTTAAATAAGATATCAAGTTAAAACGTATATCAGATTTTAACCGCGACTTTCATGAATACGACTTTGGAAAGTACTTCGATTAAGTGCAATAACTGCTTGATACTCAGATAAACATATCCGTATACATATCCGTCCACTGCTGGGCATAAGCCTCCCCCATAGATTGCCATAAAGAACGGTCCTGAGCCACCTGCATCCACTGACTTCCTGCAACGCATTTCAGGTCGTCACTCCATCTAGTTGGACATATTGTCAGAATAAATTAAAAGTAAAAACGAACTTTTTTAAAAGCTTTTAATCAAATGCGTTAAAAAGAATAAAATATACTTATTCTTTAAAAGTTTTATCATGAACTTATAACGTATGTATACAATTTATACGATATAAAAGCTTGTCGCAAGATTTAAGTACTCGTATTTATTTAGTTTGAAATTTTCAAAAATTTAATTCAATCAGACCAAGTTCACTTGTTTATCTGCATTAGTAAATCTATGGCTATGTTCATTAGAAGTAATTGCTAATTTACTATAAAGTGGTTTAAGAGACCAATACTTGCTTTCAGTCATCTAATGAAGAATAATTATTAGTTCAATTAATAAATTTTTTTATTGAAATTCTTTCAATAACAATAGGTATAAAACTATGGTTTGCCCCACAAATTTCTGAGCATTGACCATAAAAAATTCCTGGGCGATTAATAAAGAAATTAGTTTGATTTAAACGACCTGGATTTGATTTGACCTGAAGTCGATCAATGGATATATCCCACGAATAAAAGCTAGTAAAAATAATAAATAAACATAATAATAATAATATAAGAATTTTATAACACAGCGAGTAATGCCAAAGTTTAACAGCAATTTAGAGTTTGCGAGCCCTGTATTTACATACGTAGGAGATCAAACAACCAGAATTGCTCTCGCCAATATTACAAATTTCCATATTCGTTCTAGCAAAGGTTTTGTCTGAGCCATTTTCTAAAATGAAAAACGTTTTCGAAGAATTCATGGAATTCTGTCCACAGGTACAAGATTAAAACTTCAAATACATATAAACGATAACCAATGGTAATAACTAAAAATTTTATGTGAATTTAACATAATTGAATTCGCCTTTATTTATTTATTTATTACCACAAATATGTGTACATGGCGGATTTAATGCTAAAAGCGTTCTCTCCCAGTCAACCATAGGGAAGTGTCAGAATACTCGAATGCGGTACTAGTAATTATTGATATACATACATACTAAAATTACATATATAAACGAATAAATGTATATGAATAACAAATATAATTACACATATATGATATATACTATATTATACACGAATTTGGGAATAATATAAAGCACTTATTGCTCGGATAAAGTAAAAAAGTGAGCGTGAACGCATTTTTTGAAAGACGGTTTAGTCGGTAGTCTCTTAATGGCATCAGGAAGCGCGTTCCAGAGTCGTGAAGAATGTAGGAGAGAAGAGTTTGAAGCGTAATCAGTACGGTGAGAGGGGAAAGATAATTGGAGAGTGTTATTGGAACGAAGGTTACGATCATGAGTTTTAAAAAGATACTGGAATTTACTTCTTAAGTAGTTAGGATACTGGGGGTTTCGAAGAAGAGTGTTATTTTACCAGTTAGAAAACAGTTATACTGCTTCCACAAATTTTTATTTAACTACTAGCTGTATCCCTCGGTTTTATCCGCGTAAATCAATGTACCTGTATACCAAATTTCATCATAATCCATTTAGTAGTTTTTGTGTGATAAAGTAATAAACATCTATTCATTCATGCTCCAATCGCAACAAAGTTTGGCTTTTATTATACTAATAGTACATTCAGTGTTGCCAGATCGGGTGTTATTTTGTTTCTATTTTACCTAAAAATTTACGTAGTCGCGAAATTTTGGAGAAATAGGAATGTGACGTAAATAGACATAGGTTATTTTTTATGACAGTTTTGATACTTATAACCATTTGATTATACCCATGAAGGTAGCAATGTGAGATGATGAAGTCAGGTGTGGAGAAGGAAGTTTTTTATAGTGGTAGCATGGGAAATATAAGGGAGAACCGATATAAATTTGTGATTGGGTAAAAATAAAGGAAATTGTATCATTCTGGAGTAAAAATTATTTAAAATTTGTGTAAAAATAAAAAATATATATATCGCATCTGGTAACCTTGACTACATTTTATGTCCTTCATTTTAGACGACTTGCAAAAGAAGGTGATTCTCAATTCGTCTTATTTTTTTTGTTACTATGTTTACGTCTCTTTACCTGAATCGATATTTACATTTATTTTTGCAACTGACAGGATTTACTCCCGTGTTTGACTTCATTTTAATTTCGGCCCGAATAAAACTACCGGTTGAGGGGAAAGGGATTGTTAGTAATGGAGACTAACAATCCCATTGCTAGCAATATACCAAACCAGGTCGACCTCCTTGCGGTTCTCCCTGGAAACTATCATGGTTAATTCCTGATGAATTCATCATGATGGGCTAACTGGCCTGTTTTCATTCTCATCTATCACCCTTCACTGGTGCTCCGCCAGCGTATCCCGTTAGCGCAGGTGGGGTCACCATACCATTTTCATCCATCAAAGAAAAAAAAATGGTCTGTGATTACAATCAATCATAATATTTTGTCTAACTATATACCTATATTAATTGAATAATACTATCTGTGTTCGCGTTATATTACTGTTTTCACATATATTTTTTTTATATCTAGATAGAATTGAATTTGCCTCCTCTAATAGTAAGACTAGATAGATATTTAGAACTTATTTAATTCATGAAAATTTAAACGCAGGCGGGGTTACTATACCATTTTCACCTATCAAAAAAAAACACTACTGGTTTTTTATTAGAGCAAAAAATTGCTTGTTGCCAAGAAAAATTTATAATATCATCGTCATGATATCAGCCATTCACTGCCCACTGTTGAACATAGACCTCCCCCTATCAACAGTAGTTGCCACGCTCGGTAAGCGGGTTGGCAACCGCAGTAAGGCTTTGATGATATTTTAAAAGAGACACTGCTGTCTGTCTATTGACCATTCTTTAGGCGCCTCTTACGACACTAAGGGAAATTGAATATGTAGCCTATATATTCTATAATACGTGAACGCACAATATTTATAATGTGGGTATCTAAAAAACAAGTCATTGTGAAGTATCTACGGTACATCTCGTCATTCGTCAGTGCATTAACTTTGGAATCGTTTGTTTTACAGAGCAATACATACTTGTTGCTAATTGGCAGCAAGAGAAAAGAAATCTTATCAGTGTGTTGTCAAGTATTTTTATTTGTATGCTATCTGTGTCCTGCGGCTGTGCTCGAATGAATTTATATATAAAGTCTGTGTGTTAAGATAAATCTACCCGTGTATCAGATTTTATTCAAGTCTGTTTCAGTAATTTTTGTGTAAAAGTGTAACAAATATCGCATCTTTCCTTACAAAGTTTTAGATTTATATTATTAATAGGGTGTCATGCAGTTATGTCACCAAATCTGACCTGATTCTGATGATTATTTTGCAATTGACAGTATTAATTATAAAAAAGTACCTTTATTACTAAAATTAACAATTTAGTACACAATATAATTTCGAATAATCAATCAAATATTTTGAAAATTCTTGTATTATTGTCACGTTTCGGTAAGTTGCAGTGTGAAAGGTATTAGGTACTTATGTTTCTAACCTAAAAGTGTTCATATCAAAGTTTATTTATTATTATTTATTTATATATATGATATATTTATTTACTCTTTTTTGCAAATAATTAAAGAATACATACATATATGAAGTATAAAAGTGGGTTTTATCGCTAAATCAATCTCTTCCAGACAACCTTTGGGTAAAAGAAAAAAGTAAGAGAAGGTAGCTATTTGGCGCAACAACTATATATTATGCTACTCGAACTAAAACTACTCATGTTAAAAAAAAAACATATGTAAATAATTATATGAATACCATACAAACATATAATATACCTATATTATATATTTTTATTGAAGTAAACTCGGTTTTAAGCATTTTTGAATAGTTTTTTTTATTAATCTACCACCTAGTTCAGAAAACAATTTCAGCTGACAAGAACGGGCAAGAAACTCAGTTATTGTGTTTCTTAGACAAAAGTTTCGTTTATAAGAAAAAAATATGAATTCAAATGGAAAAAAAAACATTTTATACATTGTTCTTTCTTGCCAAATGATTATTTATTTGCAAAAGTTTTCATTACCTCTAATAAAAACTTTGTTTATTTTAGTATGACAGTGGAAATAAGGAAGCGGCAAGCTGGACAAGACAGCCAAAATGGGGAAGGCACTTCTAAAGACGATGCCCCGGAGAGACCAAAATATTGGGACCCGTTGGCGGATGGCGTCCGATGGATTGAAAGCTACGCGGAACCATTAGAGAAATTCTTTGAACGTTTACCTGAATTCATAAGTACATTTATCGCTACATTGGCAGTTTTTACATTTGGTGCCACATTGAGAGGTAAGATTTTACGATATCCTTCAATAGAATTGAATAAAAACGTTACATAAAAATAGCAATCTAAATATTTTTCACACTAGATACAAGTACAAACTTGCTGTTTAGAAGTATCGTTTAGAAAAAGTCATACGCCCACGGGAAAGGAAGGAGTGGCCTGTACTATGCTGGAAACATACAGCCATGGAAGGGTGGAATATGGCAATGAAATTATAGGGTACAGAGGCATATATATATATATAATGTATGTGTAATATATGTATATAATGTATATATATATATATATATATATATATATATATATATATATATATATATATATATATATATATATATAACATTAGTCCTCAAGAATGGCAAACCATGATGTTATGACCATGGCACTGTTAATGTCTATAGGCGACGGTTACCACTTTTCATCTTTCCATCAGCTTGTTTGCTATTATAAGTTATATAAAAAAAAAAAAATATACGAAAAATATATCCAGTACGCAATTTAGTAATAAGTCAATAGTCTGTGACAATTTTACATCTTACTAAATTTAATTTTAGCAGTCAACATGTCAATTAGTAACAATTTAGTAGCCAATTCTATGTTCGCTCACTGATTAGATTATAGACATCAACGTCATTTGATAATACGATATAGAAAGATCACGAGCAGGTGCAAACTAATCCAGCAAATTACGAAATCATCGATGCGATTATAAAAATCATTTATCTAATAAAACAGTTGCTATGTCGAATACATATTCGATTGGTAACATCATTAACAACAATACCAATATGTAATTAACAATACTAACAATACCAAGGAAAGTAGTAAATATTACCGTTAAAGGCTGATATAATGATATTAAATTAATTGATTATACCAGAGGGAGACTTTGTACAAAAGTTGATTGCTTGGACACCTCTGTCCCATTCGTGTTTCTACCGTGAAGCAGTTGTGTTTACATGACTGTGTTTCGGTTTGAAGGGTGGGATATGGCGTGAATTTACAGGGTACAGAGAAATAACACCTGAGTCCTCAGGAATGGCAACGCATTGGGGGTATCATGGGCGAAACAGTATACTCTGTTATGTCCATGGTACTGCTCATGTATATAGGCGACGGTTACTACTTTACATCAGGTGGACCGTCAGCTTGTTTGCAATTCTAAGTTGTATAAAAAAAAAATAATGATTTTTTAAATTTCATTTTCAATCGTATATCGATCATTCTATTGTTTACTCACGTGTTAATCTCACAAATGTTTTGCTTGAAGTACTTTTTAATATATCAAAGACTTTTTGCTTTTTACTGCTCTCTATTGGAGTCATATTTTCTTATCGGAATAAAAACCATTTTATCTCTCGAATTGGAACAAACTATACACTCGTGTGGTCCCGGCATAGAATAGGCCCCCCTTTTTTTTCTGTGGGTGTTTTAAGAGGCGACTAAAGGAGGACGAGGGATGGGCAGCGTCCTCTTAAAACATCTCCAATGCCTAACTGCGATTGCCAATCCGCCTGCCAAGCGTGGTAACTATTGGCAACCCCCCCACCTCTAGGGGGAGGTTTATGTGCAGCAGTGCATAATTAAAGGTTGATGTGATGACACATATTTTCAATTTTTTTTACTAAATTCGGTTTAGCAATTTGGAAGATTAAACTTTGTACAAAAGTTGTTAGTAAATATTACCGTTAAAGGCTGATATAATGATATTAAATTAATTGATTATACCAGAGGGAGACTTTGTACAAAAGTTGATTGCTTGGGCACCTCTGTCCCATTCGTGTTTCTACCGTGAAGCAGTTGTGTTTACATGGCTGTGTTTCGGTTTAAAGGGTAGGATAATGTAGTGAATTTACAGGGTACAGAGAAATAACACCTGAGTCCTCAGGAATGGCAACGCATGGGGGGTATCATGGGCGAAACAGTATACCCTGTTATGTCCATAATACTGCTATTGTTTATTGACGACAGTTACCACTTTCCAACAGGTGGGTCATTTTTGCATCTTTTTAATGCGAATAAGTCATTTTATTTATTAATTAATTAAATATAGATATGTCAGCTAATTTGACAACTAGCTGACAAAAAGTTGATCCATTTTTTAAACTCGATGCTCTATCAATATAATCTAAGATATTTTTATTTTATAAAACATTATTTACTTTTTTATTACATTAACTTATTTTATATTTTTAATATCCTCTTTAAACTCTCGTTACGCAGTATCATATCTTATATTTATTTTTGTCTGACAGAATTCAATAAAGAAAAAATATATTAATAATGAAAATATATATGTTATTATTCTTAATAATTTTATAAATGCAAAAGAAGTTTTTTTTTTATGGATGATAATGGAATAGAACATCCGCTTGCGCTATCGGTATTACATTAAAAAAAAACATAGGATACTTAATTTTTATTTTCACGTGGGCAAAACTTCTAATAAATTAAATTTATAAATAAACAATAATTTAATTTGTTGTTATATTATATTAATCCTATAAGTATTTGGTAATATTATAATATCTATTGAAGTGGAAATCTCCACCTTATTTGTTATCAGTTAAAATTTATTTCATTGACACTATCTTGTTATATGTCCTTATCTATTGTTATTATTTTTGTTATTTTCAACTTGAAGTCAAAACTTGCTTTTCTAATTTTTTTCAGTCCTTCCTTTTTTAAAATGGAATGTTAACCCTCCAGCGATATTAGTACATTGACCAGTGAGGAGTGATTTGTGAGGTTAAAGTTTTTTTTTTTATGCAACTTAGAATGTCAAACAAGCTGACGGCTCACCTGATGGAAAGTGGTAACCATCGTCTGTAGACATGAGCAGTACCATGGACATAACAGAGTATACTGTTTCACCCATGATACTCTCCATGCGTTGCCATTTCTAAGGACTCCGGTATTATTGCTCTGTACCCTGTAAATTCACTACCACATCCCACCTTTCAAATCGAAACACAGCCATGCAAACACAACTGCTTCACGGTAGAAACACGAATGGGATAGAGGTGTCCAAGCAAACGACTTTTGTACAAAGTCTCCGTCTGGTTGGGTCAGTTATCCATTGAATACACTAGGAGTTAATTATGATATTTTTTCAAGGAGAAAATGTGAAGGTCAACATCATACCTATATTCCTAGTAATGAAGACACTAGTTCTCATTGGTGATAACCGCTTCTCCCCGAGTTTGTCAGTTCGTATACCTTCTGCTATTCCATGGTACACCATGTTACTTGCATTTTTCCAGTCGATTCCTCAAACCTGAAAGTTGTGACCATCAAGAATGTTCCTCGCTACGAACCCTCTTTAAGATTTCTTATTTTGGAAATTAATTAATTAATTATGATAACAACTCGTGTCACTGTATACACAAGTACTTAGCAACATAGCTTATTTCAGTCAAATAAGCAACCAAAGTATGTTATTAAAAAAAAAAACGGTCTACGCTGGTGGTATACCAGAGAGGGATGATAGGTGAGGATGAAAGCTGGTCAGTTTTTTTTTAATGGATGATAATGGAATGGTGACCATACCCGCGCTATCGGTATACACTGGCGGGGCACCAGTGAAGGATGATAGGTGAGAATGAAGCAGGTCAGTTAGCCCATCGTGACGAATTCAACAAGAATTGTTCACGATGGTTTCTAGGGGGAACCACATGGAGGTCGACCTAATAGGGCATATTGCTAATAATGGGTCTGTAAAACTCCATTGCTAACAATCCCTCCCTCCCCCAACGCTGGTCAGTTAGCCCATCATGACGAATCCCTTAAGAATTAACCACGACGGTTTCCAGGGGGAACCGCGTGGAGATTGACGTGATAGAGTGTATTGCTAGCAATGGTGCTATCACATCCCCATTACTAACAATCCCTTTCCCCCTATATATTATTTAGTAAGCAATCAAGAAACTCCACAATTTATGTTCTCTTCTTTTTAGGAGAATGGATAGTAATATTAGTGACTGCGTTGAAGCAGATCACGGGGCACACGCAGAGTGGGAAGAATCTGACCACAGAAGAAATCTACATGTTGATGACACCGAAGAATTTGAAAATGGAACACTTCAGCGTGATCTTCATTTGGGCGCATGTCGTGTCCCTGAGCATGTATTTCTTAATAGGGGGATTTTTACATGTGAGTAAAGAGATTTTTTTTTTATACCACTGAGGCGGCAAACAAGCGTACGGCCAACCTGATGGTAAGCGGTTACCGAAGCCTATGAACGCCTGCAATACTAGGGGTATTACGCGCGTTGCCGACCCTGAAGGAACCTTTTTTTGATACTAAATGCTCTAACCATTTGTATAACAAATTTCACTCAGAGTTATTTCGGCGTTTTCGTGCTTGGCGGCGTGTCTGTTTGTGTTTAGTATTATTGTATATTTATATTAAAAACAAGACAACAACAGGATATAAAAATAAAATAATTATAGATTGTACCCTATATATAAAAAATACAAAAACAAAAATCTTGTCACGTTAAAATATTTTAAATATGAATACATTAATGTTTATTCGAAATATGTACTGTATACATACATACATATATATATATATATATATATATATATACTGCATATTGATCTGATATAGATATTTATATCAGGTCAATATGCAGTATTATATATATATATATATATATATATATATATATATATATATATATATATATATATATATATATATATATATATATATATATATATATATATATATATATATATATATATATATATATATATATATATATATATATATATATAATATTCAATTAAGTAATAATATTGCAATAACAAATCGTTATCTATAAAGTTTCAAATAGATATACGTATATTATTATGTCATTTATTTCTTTGTCATTTTTGGATTATACACAACATGATAATTATAATCGAATACATGTGTACTGTCACATACATTAATTTATTAAGTCTATCGTTCTGAGTAATTCTGTAATTTATCATAAGTATTTATTTATTTATTTATAAAAAAACACACTAACAATATGCTCACAACAATTAAGCAGACAATATACAATGTTATAAGTAAGTAAAAGTGAAAAACTATTATTCAAAAATGCTTAAATCTAAGTTTACTTGAACAAAAACATTTCACTCCTCACTACCAAGCTTAAGGCCATATGAACACATCAATTAAAGGTGTATACAGCTCTCACAGATGAGCGTCAATGTATACTAATTACCAATCCATATTATTAATAAGCCTTAAGATGCTTAGTCGCCTCTTACGACATCCACGGGAAAGAAAGAGGCGGACTATTCTATTCAGGGACCACACAGTGAAGTTGAACAATATTTATTATTATTTTATAAAACTTTTCATGGTTATTTAATTTTGACAACATTCTTTTCAGTGGTACTTCTACATGAATAGAAGACATTTGGCCCACGAATGGAAACTCCAACCGAACAAGTGGCTTTCGCCCGAACTCGAGCGCCACGAGATTTTAGTTGGCACTTTCTCCCTCCTGATCACCGGCAGCTTCTCCGCTCTTTTGGCTACATACATTTACAATGGGAACCCTTCCACTGTCTACTATCAGTTCGACGAGTACGGCTGGCTGTGGTTCTTCTTGCAATTCCCCGTGATTTTTATATATGCGGTGAGTTACTTTAAAAGTTTAACAAGGGCTCTCACCGGATACTGCAAACTACAACAAGCTTTTCTTTTTTTTAAATTTTATTTTAAGGGCTTTTACCTTCTTCAGGTATATCCCTGAACCAGTCCTATCGTACTCTGAACAGATTTCTCAAATAAAACTTTAGTTACTTTCCCTAGACGCGGAAAGAGAAAAATATGACCCAAGTAGGATGCTCAAAACTGTTTGCAAATTTTTCAAACACCGCAGCACTTAATTTGTGTCTGTAGCCCACTCACACATAAACGATATATGTATATCCATTGGAAAATACAGTTTATATCCTGAGGAAATAGAAATATCGCTACAAAAAACATCTTAAAATTCCTATTAATGGTAGGAATTAGCAGCGAACTTTATACATTTTATTATCAACTTCCTATCTTGATCCCAAAAGAATTCAAAGATTTATCATTATAAAATTTAAACATGCTATTCAGTTAAATCCTGAGTGAGATCTCATCAAACTACAGTCTCCCAGCTAGGAGCCTGAAAGCGTTTAAATTGATATTTATTCAATTCAGCTGGCTGTTTGACTTGCTCGAGATTCAGTAATGCATTTACATTACATAGGTAATCCTATCTTCGAAGTGATGTAATCCTTTCATATTATAAATACAGTTATACTTAATATTGTGAAACCTGAATTTCCAAGTAATGTAATATTTATTACGTAATCATTAAGTTCTGAATTTTTAAGAACTGATTATAAAATATATTTATGTTTCATATTTAAGCCTTTACCAAAGTATTCAATAGTCTGGTATTCCTTATTTTAGTATTTTTTTTTTCTTATAGAATCAGCATCAACATAATATTTATATTTAGTACCAGTTATTTACTAAGAATGTAGAAAAATTGTATTGGTAATTGTATCGACGGTCTTCTCATATGGTACAGTTTTGAGTTCATAATCTATATTTTGCAATGGTTTTTGCTTAATCCATCTGTCCACTTAAATAATGTTTCGTCGTGTATACACGTGGTTCTGATGGATTGTTGAATGGAGCTGAATTTACCTTCTCATTTATTTCTTGTAAAAACGCTCACAAGTATTCTGAATGAACAATATCGTATGAATTATATTTTTATAATTTACTAAATAACTGAAATATAATCACAGAAACACGTTTGCTTGTGTGAACGAGCGTGGAACAGAAGAATAAATTTTTTACTAGAACATAAACCATAAGAAACTGAAATCCTGCCAAATTAGGTATAAATTATGATTAATTGAACTAAATATAAAAATGATATTTAGACATGTTGAAGCATTATAATATTCCGTAAACACCATCTGATATAAAACATTCTATTTACATTTTTTTTTCTGAATAACCATAAATGGACTATGAATTAACAAATCAATGTTTAAAAAGAAGCTTTTATGTGATTCTGGTACTTGCAACCGACTCTTCAAGCTGATGAAGTATTCTTTTTTTATTCTTTATTGTACACAAATTATACTGTTAATCACAATTCATTATAAACATAATGTACAAAGGCGAGCTTATCTCTAATAAGAGATTTCTTCCAGCAAAACCTTTTCATGTATATTAATAGGATTGACAAAATCACTACCACCGCCATGTAACGGCTGTCAGTTTTTTTTGCAACTTAGTATGGCAAATAAGCTAATGACCCACCTGACAGAAAATGGTAACTGTCGCCTAAGGACATGAGCAGTATCATGTACATAATAGATTATATTGTATCGCTCATGATACTCCTTATGCGTTGCCATTGGGAAAGTCATTTTGAAAATATGACAATATTGAGTATTGTATGTTGGATTGTTACCATAACAAATCGACAAACGAAGCAATATAAATAAAACTTTGTATAAATCACTAAGTCGGTGTATTTCAGCCATTTTATGGAATGTACTTACTAATGGAGAGAATTTAATTTTTATTTCTATAAATTGTATTTTTTTTATACAACTTAGAATGGCAAGCAAGCTGACGGCTTACCTGATGGAAAGTGGTAACCGTCGCCTATAGACATGAGCAGTACCATGGACATAATATACTGTTTTGGCCCATGATACCCCCCATGCGTTGCTATTCCTAAGGACTCAGGTGTTGTTCCTCTGTACCCAGTAAATTCACGCCATATTCCACCCTTCAAACTGAAACACAGCTATGCAAACACAATTGTTTCACGGTTGAAACACGAATGGGACAAAGGTACCCAAGCAATCGACTTTTGTACAGTTTCCCTCTGGTATTGGTATTGGTATGTTTTACAAATTAACCTATTTTTTTATGTATTTCACCATTCATTTCCAGGACTACACAACTTACATACTCCACCGTCTGTACCACACACCGTGGCTCTACAAGAGATTCCATAAGCTTCACCATAAGTACAAGCAGCCGACCGTTTTCTCCGTTACCGCTATACACCCTGTGGAGATCATGCATATTCAGCTTACTATGTGTCTACCTTTATTTACAATTCCCACACATTGGTGTAAGTAAATTTCTTTTATGGTTAAATAATCCCATAGCAGTGTACAGAAAGTAAATAAATAAATGAACAACCCTTTCATGTTCTAAAAATTGAACGTCATAGATGTTCGAGAAACGTCGACTTTGCTTTACGTTTCTGAGAACAATAATATTGCCCCCAGATTAGCACAGCTTTTTTTTTAAATAAATCTCTGTTAATGTAGCTTTCTACAGACAAGTAAATTTGAAAATAGGTCAAGTATTTATTGAGTTTATCCATTAAAGATGAAGAATTAAATCTTTCCTGTTTATACTATTAGTTTAGATGACATGCGAAATGGCAAACAAGCTGATAGCTCACCTGATGGGAAATGACAACTGTTACAGTATAGAAAATTTAGTGATGCCACTACAATAGAAAGCAATTGTTGGCAATGGAGTTTGGCAGCTCCATTGCTAGCAATATGCCCTATTAGGTCGTTCTCTACGTGGTTCCCCCTGGAAATCATCGTGAACAATTTTTGTTGAATTCATCACGATGGGCTAACTAATCTGCTTCATCCTCACCTATCGTCCTTCACTGGTGCCCTGTCGGTGTATACCGATAGCACGAGTGGAGTAACCATTTTATTATTATCCATTGAAAAAAAAGTTTGTGTAAATGTCTGTAAGCTTAAGTAATCAGAGATTTTTGTTTGCAAGTCGAAGATTATCCTTGTTGTATTTTTCTTTTTTTTTTTTACATTACAAACAAGCGCACAACCCATCAGATGGTAAACTGTTAGCTAGAGCATGACTGCAAACATTATTACGTATGTCGATATTTCTGAGAGAATGTTATGTTCATTCGAAGTATTTCATATTATTTTAAGCTTTATTCTAAGTAAGATCTCTACAAGAAGTTCATTTTAAAAAAGGGAGTAATAGGTTTCGTCAGGGTCGGCAACGCACACGTAATACCTCTGGTATTGCAGGCGTTCATAGGCTACGGTAACCACTTACCATCAGGTGGGGCTTATGCTAGTTGTCACCTTAGTGGTATAAAAAAGTAAAGTTCATTCCACAATCAGAGCAAAAAATAGTTTTGGAATATTGAATTGAAAAGAAGAAATAATGACGTCACATATGTTATTTCTCATTTATCCTCTATACTTCCTCCATACACTAGGTGGTAGACATCATGGACAACATCGTAACCTTCAAGAAAAGAGCATATTTTCTTTTTAAAAGGGCATCAACACATCTGCAATTTCTCTGGTGTTACGGATGCTTATGGGCAGCGGTAGTCACTTACCATCAATTGAGCCGCATGCATGTTTGTTCCTTGTATTATAAAAAATACATTTCTAACGAGAGTTGACATTAGGCAGATGGTTGATTCTAAAACTATAAGTTAAAATCTTGGGTAATATAGTTAAAAACGTATTACGTTGACCCCAAAACTTATATTAACCCAATTGGTTAAGTATCCTTAACTCAATTATATAAGTTTTAGGGTCAACTATGATGATTTGGAGCTAACGATGACGTTTTGTTTTGTTTCAGTGCCATTCTACGTCATTGCTATTTATAATTACTACCATGGCATCATTGATCACTCCGGTATTAACTTCAAATCCTATTGGTGGCAACCCTGGCAGCCGGACGCTGAGTTCCATGATAAACACCATGAGTTCTTCCATTGCAACTTTGGCTTTAACATGAGCCTTTGGGATAGAGTAAGTAAAAAAAATTATACATCATTTTTATATCGTACCAACTTAGTGTCTGCGGGAGAAAGGGATTGTTAGCAATGGAGACTGAGAATCCCATTGCTAGCAATATACCCAGCCAGGTCGACCTCCTCGCGGTTCCCCCTGGAAACTATCATGGTTAATTCCTGATGAATTCATCATGATGGGCTAACTGGCCTGTTTTCATTCTCATCGATCACCCTTCACTGGTGCTCCGCCAGCGTATCCCGTTAGCGCAGGCGGGGTTACCGTTCCATTTTCACCCATCAAAACAAAAAAGAGAAACTTAGTGTCTGCTAGATATAGATAGATCGTTATTTGTATTGTGAATTTATAGTAAAATTTTCTTTCCGATTGATCGCATTCATTTATAATATTGTCACTATATTGCCGTACGATCTCGGCATAGAATAGACCACCTCTTCTCTTCCCGTGGATATCATAAGAGACCTTAATGATAGAGGGATGAGCAGTAGCGCCTTTCGGTAAATACCATGAAATCCTAACTGCAGTTGCCAGCTCGTCTTTTATTTTTTAATACAACTATGAATGGCAAACAAGCTGACGGCCCACCTGATGGAAAGTGGTAACCGTCGCCTATAGACATGAGCAGTACCATGGACATAACAGAGTATACTGTTTCGCCCGTGATACCCTCCATGCGTTGCCACTCCTGAGGACTCGGGTATTATTTTTTCTGTGCCCTGTAAATTCACTGCTATATCCCACAACTGCGTTACGGTAGAAACACGAATGGGACAGAGGTACCTGAGCAAACTACTTTTGTACAAAGTCTACCAAGCGTGGTAACTACTAGCAAAATCCCTATGTTCAACAATAGGCAGTTAATGGCTGATACAAGTATTATGTATCTTTTAACAATACAATTATCCCAAATGTCTGTCTATCTATCTATCCTATTTAAGAGCTGCGCTCTTGTCGGTGGAGCTCTTGCTACTCACTACGATTTTCAACGAGTCTCTTCACCTCTTGATACGACACGACACCAACTCCTTCCTTGATCTGCCTGATGTAACTTTGTCTCGGTCTCCCTCTTTCCCTCCTTCCTTCTATCTTACCTTCTATTATAATGTTCATAAGTTCATCGTGTCGTATCAAGTGTCCCAACATTTTTCCCCTTCTGTCCTCAATAGTTCTAATAATTTGTCTTTTTTCCTTAACCCTAAGCAGGACCTCCTCATTGCTAATTCGATCCCTCCAGCTAATTTTCTCCATCCTTCTCCAGCACCACATTTCAGAGGCTCTAAGTTTATCCATTTCCTTTTGAGTTAATGTCCACGTCTCACATCCATACAAAGCCATACTCCAGATAAAGGTTTTGATAAGCCGCTTTCTAATATCCCAAATGTACTACAACAATATTAGAATATTCCCCATTACGGCCGATATTAAGAAAGGCGTAGGTAATATCAAAATAACAATGTAATACGTACTTTAATATAATGCGATGCGACGTTTATTGTATTATAGGCGATGTTATGCTGTGTACCGATTTGGAAATTTGCTAGATAAAACACCGACCTCCTTTGCAATACAAATTTTTTCCAATAACTCTGAACAAAAGCTCAAACAAAGTGTGCATAATTAAATTGACTATACAATATAGGAGGAGCCAATACTAATATTTATAGGTTTTTGTCTTTTAATTACGATATGGAATAACAATATTTTTATTCATATGTAATATTTAACACTAGCGACCCGTCCGTTTAATTATTTTGGTCGGTATTTCTATCAACTTTTAAAATGTAAAAACTTGATTATTGTGACATAACGATAATAGTCGAGAAGTTTTTTGTAGTTACTGATATTTTCTTCAATATTGTAGAACATACTTTTGTTCTATCACCAATAGTCTCCGTAGCGCACGCGACGAAATATATTTTGTAACATTTTTTGTACACCTTGAGTTACGTTACTAAAGTTTTAGTAAAGATCCCTAATCTTTTCTAGCAATAAATATAGCCTATGTTACTCAAGGTGAATGTAGCTTTCTAATGGTGAAAGAATTTTTGAAATCGGCAAAGTAGTTTTTGAATTTATTCATTACAAACATACATACATACAAAAATAGAAATCTTTCCTCTTTATAATATAGTGTAGATGTACAATATTTATTCCCAAAGAGTGTTGACGTCAGGCAGGCGGCCGCTCGTAAAACTGTAAGCGAAATCCTTTAGAAATATGGATAAAACCATATTACGTCAGCCCCAAATAATAATTGGAATAAGGGTAGGGTGATGATGATGGAATGACAATATTTTTAAATTTTTTAATATTCCATATTATTACATGTAATTTTAAAAAGGTCTTAGGTGGTCGCTTAGTCCCGACATGGAATACCACGGCCACTCCCTTACTTTATCGTGGATGTCGTAAGAGGCGACTGAGTGAGGGCATAAGATGGACTGCAGCGTTCCCCTTAAAACATCACCAAATTCATTTATTGTATCTGCCAATATCTACGTTGTAACTTCTTGATGAAATTTCATTGTATAATATAATTTTCCCAAGAGACTGTGCCTACATGTAATATTGCACAGTGATTATTCACAATTTCAAAGCGAACTTTGCACCGTTCCCTAATTTGTAAGTGACCTAAATTAATCAACGTAACTTGAATGTTTCGTCTTATACTCACTCGCGATACAACCTCTGTGCTAGGCAGTCCATTCAATATACAAGTTTACATTTTATATCTTGAATTATTCTCGTTATTTACGAGTACCACCTCCACAAACCGCGTTGAGTCTTCATAACAACTTCAGCCAAACTGGTGACCCCGACGTGATTTCCGTGAGCGCAAATCTCTATCGGCTTTCCACAAGCGGATTCCACTGATTTGAGATTTCAAGAAGCGTACAGTCACAGGAATCCAATTTTCAATGTGATTGCTGAACCCGAATCCTCTTAACTACATCAGCCAAAAGACTACAGCATGGGGTTCTTCAAAAGGAGGATAAAGAGACTGCTTCAGGGTCGGCAATACGCGCGTAATACCCCTGGTATTGCAGGCGTTCATAGGCTACGGTAACCACTTACCGTCAGGTGGGCCGTAGGCTTGATTGCCACTTCAGTGGTATAAAAAAAATTAATATAATTCTCTTTTTATTTTCAGTTGCACGGCACGATGAGAAAGAAGAATGTTTTATATACTGAAGACACGTATCATGGAGAAGCGCCAGCAATCGATTCAGAGGAAGCCAAGGCTCTCATAGAAAAAGATCCAGAGCTCAAAGAATACTTTGAACAGAATAAACAGAAGACTGTCAAATCTAAGACTGATCTAGATGCAAATAAATAAGCAAAAGTATACCTTAAGCTGTATTATTAAGATTTACTTTTAAACCGACTTCAAAAAAAGGAAATTGTTCGTATGTATTTCTCTTTTAATATTTGTTACCTTTTAACTCCGGTTGTGAATTGATTTGGAAAATTCTTTTACCAGAGGGAGACTTCGTACAAGAGTCGTTTGCTTGGGTACCTCTGTCCCATTCGTGTTTCAACCGTAAAGCAGTTGTGTTTCGGTTTGAAGGGTGGGATATGGCGTGAATTTACAGAGTACAGAGGAATAACATCTGAGTCCTCAGGAATGGCAACGCATGGGGCGTATCATGGGCGAAACAGTTATACTCTGTTATGTCCATGGTACTGCTCATGTCTATAAGCGACGGTTACCACTTTCCATCAGGTGAGCCGTCAGCTTGTTTGCAATTCTAAGTTGCATAAAAAAATCTTTTTTTATCAAAATTATTATAATCTAAAACACAAATCTAAGTTCTATAACGTAGTAGTTATGTTATCTCGGCTAAATAAATCATACACTTGTCAATTTTTTAAACTGATCAATGTTTATGTTACGTTGTTCTGTTTTACAAAATACTGGTACTATAAAAAATATTTTTGTTCACAAACATTCATGAATATGACTCATAATTTTTCACTTGTTTACAAAATTCAATACCATGGATGATTTGATGGAAGATATTGATCAGTTTAATATTACTGTACCAATAACATGTCGTCCTGAAGAATGCACCTCTCACCTAATATATCCTAGGAATTTCTTAACAGTTTTGCAACAAAATATTCGCAGTATTAATCGAAATTTTGATGAAATAATTATACTACTCACTAGACTAAAATTTAAAAGCGATATTGTTGTTTTATCTGAATGCTGGCTGTCGAATGTGACCAACCTACCCGTATTACCAGAATACAATACGTACAAAACCAATGACAATTACAATCAAAATGATGGGGTTGTATTGTATATAAAAACTAGCCTGACTCATACAGTACAAGAGCCCAATCTATCGGATGCAAACTGTTTAATTGCTAAAATTGGGGAAGATACTGCTGTACTTGCGATATATAGACCACCTAGTTTTAGTAACTTGGAAAATTTTTTGGCATCTTTACATAACTTACTCGGAACTTTGACCTATTATAAAAATATTATCCTGGTTGGAGATATTAATATTGATATATTGACAATCAATTCTTACTCTTCATCATACCTAGACATTCTAGCATTTCATGGTCTTCTTCCCGTTATAAATACTCCAACAAGGATCAACACATGCCTTGATCATGTGATATTAAAAACAAAATTAAAATCGCATACATTTACACTTAACACAACTATCACAGATCATCTATCCATTTTATTTTGTATTGAAACCAAAGTAACAAAAACTAAACCAACTAATAACATAATAAAATCTAAACTTAATGTAGAAAAATTTATATCAGAATGTAAAAACTATAATTTTGACATAATATACAAAGAAAAAGACTTAAATACAGCTACTTTAAAATTTATTGATATTTTAGCAACAATGATTGCTAATAATTCAGTAAAAACATTAGCATCTAGAAATAACAGACTACTAAAACCATGGATAACTACAGGTATACTTAGATGTATTAGAACAAGAGATAGGATGCATAAGAGGTTAAAATTTAATCCAAACAACAATACACTAATGGTTACATATAAAAGATACAGAAATTTTTGTAATAACCTATTAAAACGTATAAAAAAACAATATGAAAGAGAACAACTTATGATGTATAAAAATGATTCTAAAAAATTATGGACTACTATTAAAAAAATAACTAACATTAACACTGCTAAAATTCCACCGCTGGAACTTCTAAAAACCGAAAATAGACCAGACATTGCAGTTAACAATATTAATAAATATTTCACAAATATAGGAAAGCAATTAGCAGATAAAATTCCAACTACCATCCCTTATTTTGCCTGTGAAGCTGAACCTTCTGTAAACTCCTTTGTTCTGTTGCCAACTGATATTGAAGAAGTTCAATCTACTATTAAACAATTAAAACGTAATTGCTCTCCTGGGTGGGATATGATTTCTACTGAGGTTTTATATGCTATTTCTGATACGGTATCTCCTGTTATTACAGATCTAATAAATCGATGCTTCGATTCAGGAATTTTCCGGATGCCTTAAAAAAAGCTGTGGTCCATCCTATATATAAAGCGGGTGACAGAGGTTGTGTCAATAACTATAGACCGATTGCTATATTGTCAACATTATCTAAGGTATTTGAGCGAATCGTAAATTCAAGATTAGTTAAATTTCTAGAAAAATATAAATTACTCTCAAAAGCACAATATGGTTTTAGACCAGGACTTTCTACAGATGATGCAATCAATGATTTTGTAAATTACCTTGTTGATAAAATTGATACTAAAAAGAAATGTTTGACAATATTTATTGACCTTGCCAAGGCATTTGATACGGTCTCTGCCACAAAAGTTATTAATAAACTGAACAATTTGGGTATTAGAGGTACGACACTTAAACTAATAACTGACTACCTTAGAAATAGAACACAGTGCATTAAAATGGGAAACTTTGTGAGTAGTGACTTACCTATAGAATTTGGTGTGCCGCAGGGTAGCATTATGGGCCCAACGTTGTTCCTTTGCTATATAAATGAATTGTGTCAACTTAATTTGAGAAATTGTAGAATAGCGTCATATGCAGATGATACCACTCTCACATTTTTTGCAGACTCATGGGAAGAACTATTTGAACTTGCACAAAGTGGATTTAATAAAGTATCTCATTGGCTTATGAGTAATTCTCTTACTTTAAATGAAGATAAAACTAAATATATTATTTTTTCAATGTATAAATGCGCTAAAATGTACAATAATAATTACTCTATTCGCGCACACAAATGTAACTTTCCTCCAATATCAGATTGCAATTGCCCCAAAATTAACACAACACAACACATAAAATATCTAGGTGTTATAATAGATGCAAATTTAACATTTGAAAAGCACATTGATTCTGTTTCACATAGGGTGCGTAAACTTGTCTATATCTTTAAACAACTTCGAAATGTCGCAGACGAGAAAACTATAAAATTGGTATACGATGCATTAGCAAGATCTGTCTTAACCTACTGTATTAGTACATGGGGTGGCTGTGCAAAAACTAAATTGATAACACTAGAAAGAGCTCAAAGATTAATATTGAAGGTAATGCTGCATAAACCTCGTCTTTTTCCTACTATAAAACTTTATGAAGACGCAGAGAGGCTTACTGTACGACAGCTGTATATATTACAAATAGTCTTGCGCAAACATTGCTCTCTATCATATGAAAAAATAATTAGCGTCAGCAACACAAGAAGACACTTCCAAGTCTGTGAATCAGTAAATGTTAAGACCTCATTTGCGCAGAGATTTTACCAATTCCGCAGTGGAATCGTATATAACAGGATAAACAAATTATTAAACATCTTTAAATATAGTAAAAATGAATGTAAACATATTGTGACAAATTGGCTATTAAAACAAACCTATAACGATACGGAAAAAGTAATAGAAGTAATAAAATTATAATAGTGTATAACAGCGTTATCTACGCTTAAGTACATAATTAATTAAAACAATAGAAAAGGAAGGGTATAATAAAACAAAATAAAACATATATGATATTTTTATTTGTAATTCGAATACAACATATACCTAATATAACACATACACACACACACACGCACACACATACACACACACACACACACACACACACACACACACACACACGCGCACGTACACGCACACGCACACGCACGCATGCGCGCTTGCACACATACACACACACACACACACACACACACACACACACACACACACAGGAGCGCGCGCGCGCGCTCGCTCCTCTTTGTTCTAATATTAAATTATATTTATTTTTACTCCACGCAACTACCTTTTACTTTGAATTGTCAATACTTTATTATGGGGTGGGACCTGGTGTCTAAGATACAAGTTACGACTTAGTTTAGGCTCCAGATCTCCCACAAATTATGATACTTTTATTTTGTATAAAGTAAAATGTAATATTATTATACATTGTAATTTGTGGAGATGAATAAACTAATTTTTATTTTATTTTTTTTATTTATTTGAGAGTATATATTTTCAGAATAGCTTTAGTGAAATTGTATTGTCAGTTTAGTTTTTAAATAAAAACAACTAGTTTTATCACAAATGAAGTCGGTTTTTCTTTGTAGAAAACAATTTATTTATTATTGTTAATAATTATTCAATATATGTATATATTTAGATATTGTTATTATTTTATTTTATCAATGTCAATGACCTTAATAAATATTAGTCTATCAATACCCACTCTGGCGCGTACTGATCACCTTGATTTATCATCGCAAACATTTTATCTGGTTATTATCTGATTAATTGATATATGATTAATTAATAGAGAAGGTATTATACCTAATTGTATCTACTTTCTTAAGAATAGAAGAAAATAAAAGGCTAGTTAAAGAAGAAATCGGATTTTGAGTTTTAAAGTGACTTTTACTAGAGGGTGACTTTTTACAAAGTTCGTCTGCTTGGCTATCTTCAATGAAGCAGTTGTGTTTGTATCGCTGTTTCAGTTTGAAGAGCGGGATATGGTAATTAAATTCAGGGTATAGAGGCATAACACCTTAGTTCTCAGAAATGGCAATGCATGGGGAGTATTATGGGTGACACAGTCAGCTCATGTCTATAGGCAACGGTTACCACTTTCCATCAGCTTGTTTGCCATTCTAAGTTGCATAAAATAAATCCTCCACGCGGTTCCCTCTGGAAACCATCGTAGTTAATTTTTTTTTTGTATTCATCACGATAAATCAACTGCTTTCAATTTCATCTATCATCTCTCATTGGTACTCTGCCAGCGTATATTGACAGTGCAGGCTGGGTCACCAAATCTTTGTCACCCATAAAAAAACAATTTTCAATCTGATGTATCTACGAAATATCTAATAGTTAATTTGTATGTTTTATTTCATTTAAAATTGCTATTTTTGCATAGCAAGATGTACTCTTCTATTAATGAAATCCATATACTAATACGTAAAGCAGAAATTTTATACCCCTTTTTACGAAAATAACGCGGACGGAGGAGTGAATTTGGCACAATTATAGTTTATATAAAGAAGTAGTGCAGAA